AGGAATGAAAATAAAAACTTTTGGCTTCCGCTTCCAGTCTTGCAACAGGGAACAGCTTTGTTGTAAATTTCTTGGTGGCAAAGTTAAATTGAAGTAAATACTGAACCACTCTACCAAATGTGCTTTCCAAATGTATATCAAGGAATCTATTTTTCAGCATAACAGAGTTACCTATAGTGCCAAGCAAACACTGTTCCTGTAAAGTGAAGTTTGTTACACTGCCATATTTTCAACTAGGAAACCATCACCTCTTCTGTCTCCTACAGACTGGGCCTGCAGCCTAATTACAGAGCAACATTTGATTTTGCTAAAACCTGTCTGGTATCAAGTTTAAAACACAATGTTTTAAAATTACTGTTGGATGCTAAGTAATAACCTGGAAGGATGGGGAACTGACTGCACCCAGATGCATGGAGTGAGCCTGAGATGCTGGCACTCTCATCAAATGTCTTTTCTCAGTAGGCTTCACAACTCTGACAGAGAGCTTTAGAAATAACTGCTGCACAAAGGAAATGCTTTATACCTTGTTCATGAGCATGAGACAAAGATGTAAAACACAGAAAATTCATCTTTTTGCATATTTTGAAGCCGTGGAAGTGAATAAGAGATAGCTGCAGCTATCTCCTAGTGTTGCAGCAAAATAAAGATTATACCTTTCATTGTGAATATGATGTATAGCACTGTTTTCACCTTTTATCATCTCTGGAGTTACATATAAAAGCTGTCTTCTCAGGGCAGAATGCAAGGCATCCAAGCAGAAACACCTCTTGTCCCAGCTTTGGTTCTATGCCAAAAAAGAGCTACAGCCTTCAGAATCCTAAACTGAAGCTTATGCTCAAATGGGTTTTAAACAATCCATTTTTCCTGGCCTGCATTCACAGTCTCTCATCATGAAGTACCACTTAAAGCACTAATCCGAATTAGAGAATGTATCATTCAATTATGCTGTCATATAAAAACAATTTTTTTAGGGTTTTCTTTTAAATAGGTATGGTGGGTATTCCTAGCACTAATGCAGAAGTGGATTGATTCTACTATTCAGATATACAGTGATTCAATTCTCACACTAATCTTAAAAGGGCTTTTACACTTAATGAGTCATACCCATTATTACAAATAGCTGAGTACAAAACCCAGCAGATGCTTTCTTAAGCAGAAGGCTAAGGAGAGCTGGTAGGGTTCCACAGCAGAAGAATGCAAGAGAAGCTTTGGGGGCATGAACAGCATGCTCTGGTAGAGGAAGCAAATCCTGGTTCAGTATTACCCTGAGGTTTTGCTAAATTTTAAAAAAAAATTAAACTTTGACCTGTACAATCTCTTCATATATTTCATTGCTCTTCATGCACAGAACTGGATTAATAATTTCTCATACATTTTTTTCCAGGTGAAATAAGAAGCTCAAGCTGCTGGAGAGAGTCAGCTTGGTCCCATTTTCTCTGTGTATATGCTCTCCAGCGACCTGTAAGTAAAGGTGCAAGATGTCATTTAGACCTCCTCAAATAAAGATAGCAGCAGTTTGTCCCCTTTAACAATCCCCCTAAAGACCTGCAAAACTGTTCCATGTGGTCTCTCCCTGATAAACTTTCCAGAGTGCACAGTGATTACTAAACACATTTTCCACCAAGGAGTGCTACAGAACAACAGGAAATGGAACAGATATTAGAGGTGTAATATCCATCTGCTGCATATTCATTGTCCTTCCATGTGGAAATGGAGGAAGCACATGGTTTATTTTACTGGTCAACATTTCAGAAGTAACACAACATATGCCTCTAACTAAAGGAACAAATATTGACAGTAATTGTTCAAAATTAAAGCATAATGAATATACAAAGGATATACTTAGAGGGCACAGGATATAAGTGACAGAAGGAAACTCCAAAAATAAGTACTTTTTAAATAGTCACATTAGCAGACAAGGAGCATGTGATGTGAATTTGCAGCAATGGAAACAATTTATTTCTAACAAAAAAAAATACTGGCATGTCATAATCTGGTCATTTATTTCTCTGACAGTGGTATAGTTCTTGAAAAGAAACAAAAGAATCTCTATAATTAGTAACACTTAAAATCAACACTGCTGGAAACTATGCTTGGGTCAGAGTAGCTCCAGATGACTGTGACAAATGCAATCACAACCGACCCCAGAATTCGTGTGTGGATAACTCCCAGTGAAATCTATAAGCACATGTAATGGTTTAAACTCTTGAGTGCTTGTGATATGAAAAACATCAAAGCAGAAGTGTGTGCTTTAAATGATGGTATAAATTCAGAAAACTGTCAAATCTGTTTCTGTAAGTTATGAATACTGAGGAAGAAATCTTACTGATAAACATGTAATTCTTTTCCAAGGAAGAGGAAAACATCTCCTGTAGTAGCATGTTGCATGTTCACAGTAGTACATTACTTGTGCACAGCTAAGGAGCAACAGTAAATAAACGAGAGAAAACTCTCATTTTTTCATCCTCAGCACAGCTGAAAACCATGTTACTCAATGGCTTTAACTAGTATGCTTCAGCAGCTCCTGGTGAAGAGTACAGTAGGTTCTCTGCTCCCCATGTGTGGGTCTGAGATCATCAGACCCTTGCCCCTGCTAAAAGCCTTTTGTGTTAACTGGGGATGGGTGAAGGTGGGAAAGTAAGAGGAGCTTTTAAGCGATTTTGAAGGATTAACAGCCCTGTACTTTCTCCACAGCAGATTGGAAATTTCCCATCCAAGCCTGCCCAGAGCAAGCAGCCCATTTACAAAGATAAGAAACTGATGTGAATGAACCTGCTTTGTTCTCTGTGCCATTTACTAAATATGAGATACAAAATTATTATTAAAACTTTCTCAAAGGCAAAAAGTTTTCAAATTATACCAAAAGAGACTGCTGGTCTTCTTCTCTTAAGGCTGTGCTATTATTGGATGGCTTTTACCAGTCAGCTTTGTTGTAATTGCATTCATGATTTTTGTACAAAAGGGCATGACCCTTCTCACTGAAATGGACTGGGACACTTACACACAGTGCAGACTCCATCCATGGTTATGTAAGTAAAACAGGCATCTCTGGACAGATCTAAGTATCAAAATGAGATTTACACATCTTATTAAAGTACTGGTCCAAAGGCTACCTCTGCATCTGCTCATCTGACAGAAGGTTGCTGCCATGGCCAATACTACTTTCCCAGACAATCCAGACTATTAATTACCAACAGGGAAAGTAACCCAGTGTCTGTGCTTACTCTTCCACTTCTTTCAAGAAAGATTATGAACTTTAAAGGTTTAGTAGTGTTTTATCATCTCTTCTATATAGCAGTTGATGCATGAAGACAATAGAAATTGATGCTTCACTACACTTATTAGAGCCAAAGCTTAAACTGTTAATCTTACAACAAACAATCACTTTTATAAAAATGTTCTTAACTGGCTGTGGTATCTCAGATATTCCATGCCACTATACATTTTTCATTAAACAAGCTACAGGGTGGTGTGCTTGGGCCAGTGTGTACCATGAAACAGCTGTTCAGCTAATGCTGCAAACTGGCTAGATAGGAATTGGGAGCAGTTCAGAGTTACCTGTCATCTTAGGAAGGTCTCCTGACATAACAACATATGTGAAGGGGCTGTACAGCTCCCAGGCAAAAGATGATTTGTGTCTGGATGGCTTAGAGAGCAAGTAGAGGAGGTGAGGCATCCATGTGAGTACTGGACTGTATTCAGTTTCCACTGAATGAGAATGGAAAGAGACTCACTTTGTTTCATGCTTATGGTGGACACTGCATTTACGGAAGGAAAAATTAGTTTTACTCCATAGAAAATTTTGCAGTTGTGCTGGTTTTGGTCAGAGCAGAGCAAGTTTTCTTCATAGTAGCTAGTGTAGGGCTACATTTTGGATCTTTCTTGAAAGCAGGGTTGATAACTAAAAGTGAATAATAAAATAAAGTCATCTGATTCTCTCCTCTATCCTGCTTGTTTGCTGACTGGGGTTAAACCACGAGATTAACTGTGTTGTAAAACAAGTTTTTCCGTAAGTTATGGTGACTTCCAAACTTGATCTTCTGTTACAGTCTATTCCCTCAAAACTCATTTTGCCGGACTTCAGAGGAACCTCAAACAAGTTGGATTTGTGTTACCAGTTAACTATACCTCATCAGAGGAGTCACAATATTCTTTCTTACTCCAGTAACGACCAACTTCAGCCGAAGGGTGACAAACCTCTGTATTGGACAATTTCCTGACTGCAGCACGATAATATGAATTACCAGATATACTGGGAATGAGACCTTACTGCGGGTTTGAGGCAGACGCACTCAGGGAGGGCTTCCAGGGAGCCCTTCAGCACAGCCTCGCCTCCCGCGGGCCGCCGGCGCCGAGACCCGCCAGGCAGCGTCTGGAAAGCGTGTGCTGATGGAGAGAGGCTGAGGGAGCTGGGTTTGCTTAGTCCCGAGTCCCGACGAGGCTCCGGGTGGACCTCATCGCTCTCTACAGCTGCCTGAAAGGAGGTTGTAGCGGGCCGGGGGCCGGTCTCTCCTGCCGCGCCCACTGTGAGGGGACGAGAGGAAATGGCTTTCAGCTGAGACGGGAGCTGTTCGGGTAGTCAGGCAATGGAATAGGTTGCCCAGGGAGGTGGTTGCGGCACTATCCCTAGCGGTGTTTAAGAGCAAGAGGCGTCTGGATGTAGCGCTGGCTGATGTGGTTCAGAGGTTTAGGGGTGATCGTGGTGGTGCTGGGTTGACGGTTCGACTGGACGGTACTGAAGATCTCTTCCAGCCTCCATGAGCCCGCGAGTCCATGCCTCTATGATTCTCGGACTCCGTGACTCTGTTCCGTGACCCACCCTCACTCCTCATGTCGCGGGGCGGGTCCCACGGCGGCTGTCGCGGGGAGGGAGGAAGGGAGGGAAGGAGGGAAGGGCGGCGGGGCCCCGCCCGTCAGCTGTTGCTGCCTGGGCCTCGATTGGCGCCGCGCGGCGCCGCCCGGCCCCCGGTATAAGGCGGCGGCGCGGGCGGAGAAGGAGCTGCTGCCGCCGCGGCGAGGCTGGTGGGTGCTGTGCGGGATGGTGACCGCGGGCGAGCGATCCGGGGGCGGGGGGAGGCTCGGCTCCGCTCCGTGCGGGGCGGGGGTCGGGGCTGCCTGAGTTCCCCCGCCCGGGGCCGCGGCCGCCCCTTCTCGCTCTTTGTGTAAGCGGCGGCCCGCGGGAGGGTCCGCGCTCGGCCCTGCCGAGCTCCGAGCGGTGCTGGGCGCCCCGCAGGCCTCGCGTGGGCCCCGTGGGTGACTCGGGGCTCCCCTGGCCTGTGCCGCCTCGCTGCCTGCCCCGGGGCTCGGCCCCGGCTCCCGGCGCTTTGCAGCCGTGCTGCAGTCACAAGGCGATGCCTCACGGATCGTCGGCGGCTGCTCAGGGCGGGCTCCGGGCTTCTCTGGGCTGGAAAGGCTCGTCCCTTCTCGCCCAGTGCGAGGAGTTTAGTACGTGCTGCAGCCTGTGTCCAAACCGACCTTTATGATGACGATACGGGAGTTTTCGGTAACGCAAGTTGTTCAGGCTGATTCTTGTTCTTCCTCTGAGTATCTGCAGTGTACTCTGCCGTCTCGTGCTCTTCCTTTTCCTGACACAAATATAGGTATAGACATTACATTTGTCAGTAGATGTTGCTTTTGAGTAAACCTAAGGAACTTGAAACCACACTTGAGACTCTTGCCTTGATTAGCAGGTAGGTGAAACATTAAGGGTTCTTTCCCTGACAGTTTGTGCCAGAAGCCAGTGGCTAAACACGTTTATGTCATTGGAAAGCCAAAAGTGAAAGGCACACAGGATGTGGAGCAGCTAGAGACCAATGTGCTCCCTCTCCACAGGAGAAGAGCGAGAAGGAAGACTTGCCAGACAAGATCCAAAACCAGTGTGACCTTCGCCTTTCTAATAAGGGGACTCTTTCAGAAACACTGTGTAGAGGACTCCTAGCCAGAGCTGCTTGGTGCAGGTATGTGACTGACTCTTGGGGTACTTGCTCTCTAAAGATTTGAGCTGTATATAAAAACTGTGACTATTAGAAATATAGTGTGCTGTGTAGCTGCTGTTAGACAAAGCCATTAAAAAGAAAAACTCCAAAATGACACATTTGGAGAGGTACCTTGAATCTAAATTTAAAAAACCTTATTTTTATCAGCAAACTTAATGTTGGCATCTCAGTAATTTTTCTAATGTATCAAGAATTAAGCTATGCCAGGGAATATACACAACATACTACTTCTGGTAATGGAATGTCAGGAGTGACTCTTATCAGGTCAGGGCAGACTTTTCATTAGCACTCCATGTGGATGTGACATTGACAGATAAAAATCTAGAGTCTGACAGATGTTTTTCCAGCCATGCAATTGCCTCTGAAGTCAACGTGGTCTTTAACACTGTAAGCCTGTTTCAGTTCTGCATTAACCGGCTGACTTGCCTGACAGGCAGTTAGAGCATAAACCTTTTCCACTTGCTGTGCTGCTGAGCCTGTCTGCTCTTGCAACTGTTGTCATGTCTGGAAAACATCTTAGACTGCTCCTTTCACAGCTCTCCATCTTGCTGTCTTCTGTAGACTACCAACTTCTGTGTGGTTTAGCTTGGTGCAAAGCTTTAAAAGTGAGTCTAGATTAAGGTACCACTACACCTCATGTGGGCGCTAACTGCTGTTCCAGCCAACGCTGTTAGGTATCAGCTTTCCTTCTAGTGTTTAACAGTTGCCTGAATGCTAAATTCTTGGAATACTGTCCACAACTACTTAGCCACAGAAAAGCCCTGTTTTTTTATTTCTCATCAAAACTGTAATAAGGGTTGGGAAAAGTTGACTTGCATTGACGCTTTCTACTAAACAGCTCCCTGCTTCTAAAACAGCCTCTGGACAAGCCCCAGCTTGTGCAAGGTAATTGGCATTATCAGAAGGAGGTGGTATTAACTGGAATTAATGAAGAGTAACAACGATGCTATTTTTTCATGTGGTGGAGCCTGAGCACTCCTATACTGTAAAAACTTTGCTGGGCCCGTGTGGGTGCTATACACACTTGTGAGCCAATGGTAAGTGTACAGCACTGATCTTCCCAGTGGGTTCTCCCCTTGTGTTCCATTGGCAAGAAGGATGTTACTGTGATGAGTATGAAGCATTCCTCAAAAGGGATTTTACTAGCAGAAACAGGAAAAAGCATTTTTCACAATTAGAAGGATGTTGATTCCAAGCTGCTATTGGAGGCTTTTTAACAAAACAGTTTTTAATGATTTAAAAAAAGAATTAAGCTGAAGGTCACTCTGGTACTTTTACTCTCATTTCTTTACTGTGCCCCATTTAACATATTTTAGGTGGAATGCCATAATGTAGTAGCTGTCACCCCCCCAAAAAAAAACCCCAAAGACTTAATACTTGAATCTTGAGCATAACTGCTTGATGAGGACTTCAGTTTATTTGGGTGAACTGTAGTAAATTTGCTTTTGAAGCCTCTTCTTATGGCTTTGGCTCAAATGATAGCAGTGAAACATGCCTGCAGGCATGAACAATACTGAATTTAGTAGCATGATGCCTGTAATAATGAAAAACCTGATTTAGAAACTAATTCTAGTCTTCCACTGCATTTTTCCCTTAGCAGCCTTCTGCAATTCAAACTGCCTGTTTGTCCTTTATTTACAGTTTCTGAATTGGATAATAAAACTTCACAAATTTATTTCTGAGTAGAAGCTAATATTAGGCAAAAAAGAAAAGCAGGTTACTTATGGAAAAATGGTTTCTTGCTGATGTTTTCACTACTTGATTGCTGTAAAAACTGAAATAGGCTATTTGCAGTTCACACCAGTGATCTGACTAATCTTGCTTATGAGTAAATATGCTTAGATGACTGATTTGATAGGCAAGTGTGGTGGGAAGGGACACAGTTCTACAAGTGCCACCAAATATATATGGATGGTGCTGGCAATCCCTTTGAAGATCAGGAATTTACAGCCTCCAGCCTAATATCTTCCAGCAGAAGTGATGACTGAAGGCAGTGCTGCTCCTGGTATGCTCATAGGGTCTTTTTAGCTCAGATAGGCTTTAAGGGGAAAGTGAGTCTGAACTATTTGTGGCCTTTAAATCAGTTTAAGGGGATCTACAAAATGCAGTATTTCCCCTATCAGGAAGGGGAGTATGGAGACAGCTTGATGTGGATTCCAGTTAGTTGCTGGTGGAAAGCTAGCAAGGTTGGAGTTGTGTGTCCAGAAAAAAACCCACAGTCCCAGGGCTTCTCCCGAAGTTCTTACAAATACAGTTACAACATGCCATGTACTGTGCTAAGGGTAGAACTAAGACTGCAGGAGAGCTTTAGCTCTAGCTGTACAGTGACCTAAAGCCTGGAAAATAGCAGTGTGAGTTAGCAACAACACTACAGCTTCCAAATTATCTAAAGCTGCTGTCACACACTACTAACTAGTTGTTTGTGCCATCTGTACAGATGCTTAATACCTGACTTTATATAGGGTGCTGGCTTTCAAGTCCGTGAGTGGGAAGAGAGTATGCCTGAAGGAACAATGCTTACACTCTCACTGAGAAGTGAAGTTCTTTGAGTTCTAAATCAAATAGAAAACATTTGGAATTTTAAAGGTAAAAATCTATGGATTTGGCCAAGAAAGATCTTTAAGAGGAATCTGTAAGTTGCTGTGTTGCACTTGATTTTGGACTCAAAATTGTCTAGTCAGTGTAAGCTGGTCTTGTGCACCCTATAGCAAGATTGCTAGAAGATCCTGGTGATGTGCAGAGTTTCATACTTTATATAGTTGATGCTGTCTACTCAGTCAAAGACTGGCAGAAGCGTAGCATCTCCAATAGTTCCCACTATGAAAAACTGTTTTCTAGGTGACAGTAACTGCTTAATGGAAGGCTATATGCTGACCCAAACTGTTGCACAGGAACAGTAGGCTGTCACTGCTGCTTGCAAGAGTGCAAGCTATAGAAGAGGCCTCAGTGTGGCCATGGAGTGTCTGCATGAGAAGCAAGGAAAACTGTCTTTTATGCTGATGCTGTATGGTTTTGGCTGGATCAAACAGTGCTGCTCTTTAGAAAAGCCCTGAGGAAAATGAACTACATGAAAGTCACTCTTAATCACCCTCAGCTGATCACCCTGTGTTGAATAAGCACTGCAGAACCAAGGTGATAATGGCAAATCATACACTTCTCTGGCTGCAGTGGGCACATAGCCCTGCTGAGGGTGTGTAGTGTGGTCAGGTTTGGTTTTACTACTTAAGCAAAATTGGGTCTGCAGAACTTGTCTGGTTGTCTGATATACTACAAGCTATCAATTGCTGTAGTTTACAGGGCTGGAAATGTAACCAGAGTGTCCGCAAGTTATGTGACACTGGGCTCTAATAACAACACATGCTGAACTCCGTAGTGGAGGGGTCTTTGCTGAAATGGTGATACACATGGGTCTGTCATTGCATGAGACAGACATCAGGGAACAAGCTTAGTCTGTGGCTTGAGTTGTCTTGGTAAGGATCCTGCACTGTAATTGTCTTGACTCGTGTTGAAATGTGGGTGACTTCTGGTGCAGTGGGTGGCACTCACTGTAATCCAGTGGTCCTGGCTCAGGGTGGGTTAAGACTGACTTCTCCTGAGGGGTTTTTGTATGAAGATGCTGCACTTGCAGCTGAGACTGCAGCAGTGATGGTGAGGAAGAGCCTTTCCTGGACAGGTTTATGTCGCCCTCAACAGACTGGCAGCCAGAAGATACTCCTGTTACCCCACTGCCAGTCAGTGGGTACAGGTCAGGAGAAAGGCACATGTGCACTTAGAGCTGGCCTTAGAGCTTCTAGGGACTGCAGCTTTTGTACCTTAAATGAGCCCTAACCTGCTTTATGGTAGTACAGAGGTAAGAGATGTTCCTGGGTAGGACTGGCTCTGATCTCTACTATCAAGTCTTCCATGAGTTTGTGTTTTGTTGAAGAGCTGGGGTAGTAGGAAAGAAGCAAGTCATTAATTCATTACCTTTTATGTCTTAGTTGAAGGAAGGAAAGTGAACCTATCAGCTTTGTAAACAGTAACTTTGAAACTTAAGACAAGGCTCACATAACTTTTTTAGATAGGGTTGTGAATTTGGAAGGAGAAGTAGTGAAAGACATTACCTGTATATTTTTGTCCTGCTGAAATTACAGCAAATTAAGAAATTCTTGGAGCTCTTCCAGTTTCCTGCTGTTGCCTCTCCTCCAATTCCAGCTGCAGTCCTAACAGACTACCTTTCTCTTATGGTTTTAAAGCCACTTTTTAAAGATCTTTTAAAGAGAAGCAGAAGCTTAAAATTCTATTTCCACTGTGCTTAATTAGTCTTAAATACAGCTCTACTTGCTTTTTATGAAAAAATGCAACAGATGTTCTTTGTGCTCAATGAACAAACAATTAATTACCATGTACCCAGCCCTCATAAGGAGGCCAGTGTTATGGACAGACTTACAGTAATACATTAGCACTCAATTACCTTCACAATTAGCTTACCAATCCTGGAATTGTTAGTATAAGAAGGATGTTCATAAATTAAATTTTCAAAAGGGCTAGGCACTCAAATGTACTGTTCCTGTAGGATTCCTTGAGGAAAACTAAAGGTAGCTGAATTGCTACCTTGTCATGGATTTGAGATTTCACTTGTGATACAGCATTTATATCAACAGGCTTAAATCTCCCTGTGCTAAACTGTATGAATTCCATGGAGCTTTCAGCCTTGCATCTCCTAGAGAAAACTGTCACCTCTTGGTAGGCTGACCGTGTGCTATCTCAAGCATGTCAGGAGCCAAAACATGGTTCTGTGATCCTGTGACTGAGCAGCACAAAGCACTGGAGTGCAGGAGGATCCACGTGCCTTGTGGACAATGCCAGCCATGAATATAATCTTGCTGAGTGCAGTAAAACTGCACAAGTTCATTATTTATTTTTAACCCTGCAGGAGTTTGAAAATGCATTGAGACTGACAGTGAGGACAGAAAAATCTCCTAAAGAAGAGAACAGCCTGAACTCTTGGCCATGTCTATCACAGACCACAGCCCCACCACTGGAGTGGTGACTGTCATTGTTATCCTGATCGCTATCGCGGCTCTGGGAGCCCTGATCCTCGGCTGCTGGTGCTACCTGCGGCTGCAGAAGCTCAGCCAGTCTGAGGATGAGGAAAGCATTGTGGGGGAGGGAGAAACCAAAGAGCCCTTCCTGCTGGTGCAGTACTCTGCTAAAGGACCCTGTGTGGAGAGGAAAGCCAAGCTCACTCCGAACAGCCCTGAAGTACACAGCTAACTTGGAGCATCACGTGCAGATGGACTGTATGCTCATGTCATGTGTAACCAGCAGAAGCATTTCAATACTGTGAAGAACCTGGTCATGTGCACACTACTCATCAGAAGACACCTTAGATGAGAATTAAATAAGCTCTGTTTGCAACTGCATGCACTGAGAGGTTGCACTTTGCATCAACTGTGTATCCGAATTCCTCTGTGGCAGGAGCTGACTCGCCTGATGTAATGTCCATTGCTGGCAATGGGCACAGGAATATACTGGTGTGAAGAGACTACTACTGTTTTTTGTTACTTGAATGTTTAGCTGAGCCTATTTTGATAGAGCTACTACTGCAATGTGATCTACTTTAAAATTGTGAACTGTAAATAGGCTGCCAGAAACTTCTTGCTTTTATGTTCTGTAGCATATGGGAATATGATGCAACTGTATATAATACACAGGGGGACTCCTGAACCATTACCATGGATGGGACTCCAGATCTTCAAAACCAAATCTGCAGTTAAAGCTTGCTTCTGCTACTAGATTGGGTGTGCAGCCATTAAGTCAGAACTCATCCTTTGAACAGTTTATTGGATTGATGCAGAGTACTTCATTTGAAAAGAAGGGATAAGCCTTCAGTAATATGCTGAAGGAGGAAACACAGGAGCTGCAAGAAAGGAAGCGTTCCTTTAGCTGCAGCTATGTTGGTTAAGCTTTTGGATGCTAGAACTGAGTTCTGTATGTAGCTACTGCAAGGAAACTGCCATTTTGATGGGTTCCAGCCTGGAAACTTATGATGGATACTGAACCCTCAGGAAGAGTCCAGAAGGTTTCCAGGTGTTTGAAATGGCAGTAGAGCAGGCTTGTCTTCCATAGGTGTATGTGCTAAAACTGCAGAAGTGGTTTCTTAGCAAAACTGGCTTAAGTGCAAGTACTATGAATTCTTCCTAGAACCCTGGTTTGTGTACTTAGGGTGTATGTTAACAGCCTGTTATGAAAAGGCATTTTAGTCTACAGTCAGACAACTCTAGAATTCAATTCATGTACCTTGTATATAACTTTTGATTGAATTGTACTACAACAGGAGAAGTTTCAGCCTTTTCTACTGTTGATAGGGACAAGGGTTATTGCTGGTCAGTTTGTAAAAGCTTTTAGCTAGCAATGGCTAAGTCCTTCCAGATAACATAACATTTTCTGCTCTGTGCTGAAGTCCAGCTGTAGGAACTGTAAAAAGGTGTTGAATGGGAAGTTCTGGACTGCAAAGGTGTGGGGGGAGGAGAAGGAACAACACTGAACAGCCAATGGCAGCTTACATATTCTAAAACTTTGTGTAGGCACACATGCTTAGAGGTCACTGGCCTGTTTTCTATTACTTGATACGTGGCCTCCTTTGAATCCTGATATTTTTAAACACTTAATTGCCTAGCCTTAATTCAGCTCCAGGGGAAGCATCAGACTTGCTTCTCGTACCTGTACATATGGAATAACTCAAAGCCTAGCAAGCTTGCTTGAGAATTTTGACTATATGCAAGACAAGAATGGTCTAGACAAAAAGTTGTCCTCTTCTTCCCTAAGACGTTGAATTGCTTTGTTAGTGCTACATTTGTCTTTTTAAAATTGAAAGCTGTCATTTGAAGCAAAAAAATGCTGTCAGTAGCAAAAAAGTAGCAAAAAGCTCCTGCTGTTGCCTCTTGAGTACAACATATGGGGTACAGCTAATAATGTTCTTACCCTGACACATGCTTTTTCAGATACTGCTTTCAAAGAGACTTGCATGTATAGTCAGACCTGTACACTTAAATTGCTGTATTTGAGACCTCTTAAAAGCAAAGAAAAAAGGATTAAGACTTCCTGTAGTTTTCAGTAGAGAACAGTTCACACATGGCTCTTGTGGTTTCCAGACAGTCAGAATACCAGTATACAAAAGTGATACAAAGTGCTGAAGTTCTAGAACAGAACAGCTGTAGCAAGATGACTTTGTCCATTCAAATTTACTGATTACACAGATGAAGTATCTATTTTAATTCAGCAAAGAGAATGCAGTGTAAAGGGCAAACTTCAGAAATTATGGAAAAGTATAAATCAAAGGTCTGATTTCCCTTCTAGCAGCTGTAAGAGAAAACATGTGAAAACTAACTGGTCCTTAGTCAGAGGTGCTGCACACTGCTGCCCCTCTGATACAAACCAGTATCTTTAATTTAAATGGATAGGTGTTTCCAAGTTAGTGCAATAGTAAAGTGCAGAAAGTGTTTTCCATTCTTCTCTTAAGATGGGGCTATCTAATAAGTTGTTCAAGTGTACAAAAATATTCCATTTGATTTTTCTTTTTCCAGATCATGTGGGGGAAGATGTATTTATTTACAATGAATGTCAATAAAATTTGCATAAATACCTACCCAATACTGCATCATTGGACTTTGTGTAAGCAATTATTCTGTCCTATTTCCACTACTGTGCTCTGTCTCTATGGTATCAATATTATCAATCCTTTTTTCCTCTAAAGCAGCAGTAGCTGTTGAAAGTGATATATCATTATCTTCAGAAAGTGTTTGCTCAGATTGAAGGGATTCTTTAATTTCATCTGTGCTCTGTAGCTTTCCTCCTCTTGATGCCACCAGAATTCTCAGTAAAGCATTCTCTTTAAGGAGGTTTTCTGATGCATCAGCTAATTCCTGAAGTTTTTCAGCCATTTCTAACAATTCTTGATTCTTCTGGTCATATGTGGCCTGCAACTGCTCACTGTGGAGCTGCAGAGTCTTGTGCTGCTTTTCCAGTGTGTGTTTTTGCTGCTGTAGTCTCTGCTCCTCTCTCCTGGCTTCAGAAAGCTGTGCTTCAAGCTGGTCATGGGCCTGATGAAGGGCACTGATTTCTGATCTTAACTTCTGAATTTCTCTCTCTAAATGTGAGATGTGTCCTTGCTGCAGAACTGACTCTTTATGTAGGCATTCTTTGGTACAGGGTTCTGCCGAAGAAAGACTTGAGTGATGTAAAATAAATTTCAGGAGGTTAGGAAGGTTAACTGAAAAGTCTTCAGGGAACTTCACACTTTGCTCCTTCCTAGAAGGACATAACAAGTTAATAGTAAATTAACTCGGGAAGATTAAGGGTAATTTAACCTTTTTTTAAATCAAGTACAGCAGCTAGGAGAAACCCAAACTCATCTAATAAAGATAGAGCACACAGATTTTCTTCTGATGAACACTTTTCCTGTGTTCCAGTCTGGGTGCTGTAAGCATCTCTGCATGGGACTGGTATTTGAAGAAAAAATTCTATTCAATCTCAAAAACCACATTTCACTCTTAAAAAATAAGTATTCATGATCATGGGTTATGAGCTTCAAATATATAGGGCAGCATCACTGTGTGATCAGAGCACAGTGCCCTTAGTCTTTGTAGTTGACAGATGACATTTACATGTTCCTAGGTCTACATACAGTATTAGGATTTATGTCCAGATACATAAAGCTGCCCCATGGGCAATGACTATTTTGAACCTGTTTTCCTGGAAGCAGTAGCTTGGTGAGTTCCAGCACCTGAAAGCCATGGCAAGGGAGCACTTTTAGTGACTAGTGACTAAAGTCACTTTAGTCAGAAGTAAGGCCCTTTTGCTGCTAGAAAAAAAATCTCTTTACTTATTCCTCTTACTGTTTTGTCTTTACATCAGAGGTGATGAAGGAAGCAAACCAAACACGGTTTTTCTGTTGGTGGTTTTCCCCCCTGAAGCTGTGCATACTAAGCCCAGCACACAGAGCAGGTAAGCTTCCTTGCTTTCTGCAACAACATAAAGTGTTATAACGGGGCAAGAGAGGCCAAGAACAGCAAGTACCAAATTTCTTCCTCAAGGCTACCAGCCACTAAAAAACACCAGCTCTGGCTGTGACAAATGTTACAATTACTGCCCTTGTGGACCCTGTGCACACATATGAGGCTAAACTGTCCTCTAATGATTAGGCTGGAACTAACACTTGCTCTTCTGTTTCTGAACCAGTTCCATCTTCATCCTTTCACTCAGAAGCATGTAATACAATTTCACTTCTTCCTGCAGCCCAGCCACTTCCACCTCACACTGTACAACTGGGAAGGCAGCTAATAGTTTATCAGTTTGGTTCTGCTCCAGCTCTGCCAGTCAGCAGCATATTCTTTCCTGATGCAGCCATCAAAACAAGGAAGGAAAGCTTAGTTTGCTTCCCTCTGGCTGTCAAATTCATTACTAGAGTAATGGTAAGTAGCATGCCTTCAGGTATGGATTAACTACATAAGTGAGAAAAAGGACAGAGAATAAGCCCAAACAAAAATGACTGCAAAGCAAGAAAGCCAGGTTGAAGTATAATGCCTAAAGCCTCTTAGTGCTCCTGTACAACACACACCATGGGCCCCTCTTGTGTCCCCTTGTGTGTGACACTGTGTCCTGAATTGGTTACAATGTGGATCTGGAACAGGGGAGTTTCTCCTTTACCAATTACACTTCCCTCAAAAATGCCTTCTGTAAAATCCAACTCATAAGCATGTGGGATATAAAAATAATTAGTTTCATTTACTGAAACCTACTTACTGTACTTCAGGTAGAAGACAGATACCATATTTTATCAATAATTCAAGAACTTCAGTCAGATGAGGCTTCTGCTCATCAACATTAAGCTATTTCTGGCAGAGTGAGCACCATGAGTTTTCCTCCCCTGCAGACTCCTGGTGATGGACCAAGTTACTCTTGTAATTACCATCAGCAGTTGCTCAGCTGACTATCAGCTCCCATCCCAGATAAATGAATCATGACATAATTTAGGCAAAAAATAGTCTACACTAAATCAAAATTGACTCATTATATTGTGGTAATGTTTTACTACATCATCATGCATTTTTATTGATCAAAACCACAGCATGTATCAAAGAAGCTAAAAGGCTATTTAAAACAAATAGCAGAACAAAATATTAACAGCGTGTGGTGGAAAGAAATTGAGAACAGAGTTAATTTGCAAAAATTGTCTCATAAGGCAAATGGATAAGAAGCTGCATAAAATGCCCTAATATGAGGCACTTTTATATTCAAAATGAATATACGACTACTCTAGCAGTGCTACAGGTACTACAACTACTATCAGATCCTAATTTTCTTGATTACCTCCATGCAGCAAAATATAAAAAAACACTAGAGAGGAAAACCAGGAGGGGAAATAATGCCTAGAGGTAAGGTACCTTTATAAAACCAGCTGGAACATTACAAAAATAATCTTAACAAAACTACTCAGTCTGTCCCTCCAGAGACTGTCTAGAGCATTACAGAGACCAAGACAAAATCAGTACCTATGAAAAGAAACAGGGAGACCATCAGTTGGAAGCTGGGGCAGCTCAGAACTGATATAAACAAAACTCTTTCTGTACTGGATTAAAACATGAATGGCAAAACTTAAGGCATAGGTTTAAAGATTTTGTGGTAGGTAACTGCCCAGTACCAATACACTGAACTCCCATTTGCTGATGGTAAAAGCCCTTGAGGGAGAAGGGTGGAAATCTGTGAGTGTTGGTTGGGTTATTTTGTTGCTTTGCTGGTGGTTTTTTTTCATTAGAATATGCATGAAGTAAGAATGCATATACGGAAATGAATTATTCTTTGGCTTTTTTCTTTACTAAGACACGTAACCAGGTAATTACTGCAGCTTAGTAAAATGGAAGTTAAAAATCCACAGGGAAAAGAATTATATTACCTCTGATGAGGAAAAAATAAAATGGTTGGGAGACGGTCTGTCATAAATTCCCAGGGAAGGTCATTTCGAGTCACATCAATTCTGTGAGGAAGAGACACACTGATGAAGAGAACAGGCAAATGAACAATCTGCATTTTCTTGTAAAATGCCGTTTTAGGGATTGGGAAGAAGGAAATTTAAGTATCTGTGAAAGAAAGTCTAAATGTTTCTGCCAGAAATACATTGTTTATATGAGTCAGCAGAATTAATTACCAACACTCAAGATGATGACTCTCAGTTTAACAAATATCCGTGTCGTTTTTTCTCTAGAAAAATACATTCAATACAGCAACTGCTCTCTACCACCAATTAAACCCCAGTCACTCACTGTGTACACACAGTGCACACATTGTGTACACACCTTCCTTCTGAGATAAATACACCAAACATGAGACAAGTTATTTTTAGTCATTAATTTGTTCCTCAAGTACATCTCTTAATATTGCCCCCTCGAGTAGTTTTGGTAGTAAATCACTTTGCTTCTTCCAAGGACAAGCACATTCTTAAAGGTGCTTTTTTCCTAAAGCTATGAGTAGAAAGGAACACTTGGTTTAACTGTTATTGTTTTCTTCTGCATTTTAGGGCTTTTTTTTCACAAATCAAATTCTTAATAATTACAAATTACTGTAGAACACAACAGACGATCACATCAGTAATACTGCTGTGAAAATAATGGAGCAAAGGAGAGAACTTCGAAGTGGGGCAAGAGAATGGGTGTAGCCTTGGGAATAGCATCACATCTGTGGCAATAAAGCCACAATTATAAACAGGGGATGAAAATCCAGATTTTTAATTGATTTATTTTTTCTCTACATCCCATGCTGTCTCCTGGAATAAGGTCAGTCAGAATCAAATAAAGATGCAATCTGAGCAAATGTTTTAAGTATTTATGCATCACACACATTACAAGAACAAGAATGTTTCAGTTGCATGGAAACATTAATGAACCTGGAAACACCGAAGAAAACTATGTGTTTTTTACATATAAAATATATTTTAACATATATATTAAAATATACATTACACATATCATATATAAATATATTTCTGTAAACTGGTTTTGCTGGGATAGAGTTAATTTTCTTTATCGTAGGATGTGGGTTGCCATTTTAGATCTGTGATGAAAATGGTGTTGCTAACAAATATATATATATATATTTGTTAGCAACACATTACTTTTGCTACAAATCATCACAAAGTTATGGATTCACTTACTGAAATTAGGAAGTTTCAAGGTAAATTGCACAGTTTAAAAAAATATTTTAATGAAAGTGGGTAACTACTGCAGTAGATTGAAAACCACCCAACACATACAAAGGAAAACAATGCAATGCATTCAAAGAGAAATTAAGCAGATGACATTCATATCTATATTGCACAGTTGTAGAGAGGAAAAAAAACTACTTATTTTCTAGGCTAATGACCTCAGTGATCTTACACTATTCTGGAAAGATGAAATTAGAATGTTTTTACCTTGCCACAGTGAAACTGTCAGGAGGCAAAAGCCGAGCAAGTTGAATAAAGATGTGATTAAGAGAAGCACAGAATCCACACCACTGTGCATAATACAGCAGCAGGACATTCTGGAAAGTGAAATGGAGAAGAGTTTGATTACCTATTGGAGGTAACCTGCAGAAAGGAGGACTAGTTTTCACACCAT